AGAGAGATAGAGAGAGAGAGAGATAGAGAGAGATAGAGAGATAGAGAGATAGAGAGATAGAGAGATAGAGAGATAGAGAGACAGATAGATAGATCGATCGATCGATAGATAGACAGACAGACAGACAGAGAGAGAGAGAGATAGATGGATACATAGATAGATAGATAGCTAGCTAGCTAGCTAGGTAGGTAGGTAGGTAGTCAGAAAAAGAGAAAGAAAGAGAGAGAAAGAGAGAGAAAGAGAGGAGACCTCAACCACCTGTCGGTCCATCAGTGGTGACTCACAACAACCAACCTCTCCTATAGTTTTCCTATTTTTGAAACTTCCGCCACCGCCTTGTGCGGTACTACTGGTACACAGCTTTGTGATTCAAAGCTGGCATCCACAAAGGATCACACCGGCATGACCAAAGATGCCGAGACATAATCAGGCAATACATGCTTTCTGAAAATTAGTCAAATCATTGATTCGGGGGCCATTTAATTTAAATCAAATTAATTTGAATGACATCAATGAAGTCCATAAGCATCTTTGTGCGAGCACATGTAGAAATCATCAGACGGATCTTGGGACGATCCTACCCTCAAGTCCACAAGAGATGAGCCTTCAGGGCCGCTTGCTCTCCGATGCACTGCCAGATGTGGCCAAGTTGCCATCTCAGACTGAAACAGGTGAAAGGTTGAAAAAGAGTTCAATCCTAGATGCGCCACCAACATCAACCAACCACGTGTACATAGTTTTACTTACGTTTTTTTTGTCAAGGCCAAAGTCAGCATGTAGAATCAGAAAGCAGTTTGAAGATGTTCCGGCACAAGTTTCGGAGCGCTTGCGGGTTCTCAAATTGTTGGTATATATACACATATAATGCATACATGCATACATACATGCATACATACATACATACAGATATAATATATATATATATACATGTATACACGAGTCGATCTAAAGGTCCATGTGTATAGAAATTGTCCATTACGAAGGCCGCCAGTGTTACAGCATGAGACCATGCGATTTTTTTAAGCCCGCGAAAGTATATTATTTTGGCGGGCGATTTAGCGAATGTTTATTTTCATGAAGTGGTTTATCGTATAGATATTATATATACATACATTGCAGTGAGAACTTTCTGGACTGAATTGTGGATGGCGGTCATGGATTAGACCCCCGTGCTATTTTGTAATCAAGTGGAGCTGCACCCGCAAGCACGATTCTGTGTGTGGAATTTTGTTGTTGTTTTATTTGCAAAGGATCTTTTACGAAAGTTTCACAAAAGTTCTGCGAAAGCAGTGGTGAAAGAGAACGTGCCCATGGAAACCCATGCCACACGGCACCTTTGCATCGTCAAGGGAACCTGGAAACAATGAAACTCTATGAAACTCTGTTGTTTCCTGGTTGGGTTATCACAACATGGCCTTGCACCTGCATTTGGCTGTCTCCCAGATCACTCACACGGTTGCCGTTTACATGCAGTTTTCGCGAAAGATTCTTTCACGAAGAATTGCCTTTTGCAGATGAAGGAATTTAGATCAACCGCTATTGGATGTGTATATAATATATATATAATGCATGTGTGCATATATACACATTGGTTTTTATTTGCGTATTTATCTATGTGTATATTTAATATGCGTGTAGGATCGTGTAGGAACAGTTTGACTTGTCGTAGTTGTTTGAGAGATGCTCCCGTGTGCTGTAGATTTGCTTCCGACCCATTTGCTTCCGACTTGACACAGTGGACGGGGATACCCTTCAAGTTGTGCCTCAGTTCACGCTGATCAGTTTCATCCTTGGGCCCTAGCCTAAGGACATCCGTGGCGAACCCACCTCTTACTGCTGCAGGAGAACCAGATGTACCAGCGTCATGGCCGCAAATCCAGAGGTGGACAAGCAATTGGTTCCTCCTAATCGCTGATTTGGGATGATTTGGGGCAGAATTTAGGTTTCAATGTTTTTTGGAGCTGGAAGTACATTATGGTAGTTGATTGTTTCCTAGCCATTCCTAGCCTGTTTTCTTCAGATGCATGCTACTTGCTGTAGATTGAATAGGCAAAGAGGAAGAGCTTACGCACGACTAACAGCTTCAATTGAAGCAACAACTGACAGACATCGAGCCCCAGGATATAGATGATTTAATCATCAAGCTAAAGCAGTAAGAATGGGACGCGAATAAGATTGAGATCTCAACGGGGATTTTCAGGTTGCCTTTTCGGGGTCACTTGGATTGAACCTAGTACTGCTTCCTTCCAGACAATTGCTGAAGCTTCCCAAGCCCGCAACGGCCCAGGTGGTGATTCGGAAAAAAAAGAAAGTCGCCGCTTGGCAAATGGAGCCGTTTAAGAACATTTCATGGATGATTGCTACGGCCCAACAGCAGGGAGTATAAGGGGGTTCTAGTAGAGGTTTGTCCATGTCCCCCCATTAATCCATTGGGATGTCAAGCATCAACTTGAGATGGCTGTAAAAGTTCATCAACGACCGGATGACGTCTCACAACTTTCCACGGGATGTTGTATCACATGTCATTGTTGTCATTCGACATATTTCTGCAATACGGCAATATATGGCAAGCTCATGGTTCATGGTATCCTCCCATCGCATGATGATATGTTTCAATGTACCCTCGGGCGGTCAATGTCCCGCTATAAAGCTCCATTTTTCATGAGGATTTCCCAGCCATGTTTGGTCGGATCCTTGATGAGGTCACCATGCCGGAGCTTCGACCCTCTCCGCCCACCCTCTGAGCGCTGCGGCAAGGTCGCAGCCAGCTCGGAGTAGAATGTGTAGTTGTGTAGTTCGCAAGGGGCTAGCTCGGGGAAAAAATAGAGGGTTCATGGTGCTTCGACCATCAAAAATGGTGGGTGTTGTATTTTGAACTGTCTTGAAATGGGGATCTAGAACAGAAAATGTGATATGAAATACCCCCTATATACATCCAATGCTGAACCTGGGTTTCTATGAAGGGATTATCACCCAAAGGTAACAGCAATTGTAAGGGTTCCCTGTAAATTATCCCTGAAACCACCTCCGATGTTTAGATTTGGACACCAAGTCTGGCCATGATGGTGGCGAGGTTTGAGTGCAGTTCAGCTGCGCTGTCCAGTTGAAATTTGGAAAATGTGTGCTTTTGCAGGAAATATCACCAGGAATCCAGAAAAAAGGAGGAAGGCTCTAAGCGGATGCAGATATGCAGGAAGTAAATTCAGGTCCCTACATATATATATATATATGTATGTATGTTATGTTATGTAATGTAATGTAATGTAATGTAATGTATGTATGTAATGTATGTAATGTATGTAATGTAATGTAATGTATGTATGTAATGTATGTAATGTAATGTAATGTAATGTAATGTAATGTAATGTAATGTAATGTATGTATGTATACACATATGTACAAGTATACTATATAGTATCTATATCTATCTATGTACGTGTATATATATATATAATAAATGTGTGTGTGTGTGCGTGTGTGTGTGTGTGCGTATGGATAGACAGAGAGAGAGAGAGACAGAGACAGAGAAAGAGAGATATAAAGTGTGTGCATATACCCACATATATACATATGTCATGTCCTGTCCTGTCCTGTCATGTCATGTCATGTCATGTCATGTCATGTGATGCACGTATGTAATGGAATGCAATGCAATGCAACGCAACGCAATGCAATGCAACGCAACGCAATGCAATGCAATGCAATGTAATGTAATGTATATTATATTAGGCGTAATATATATATATATATATAATGATAATAATGTAATCCAATCTGATCTGATGTGATGTGATGTAATGTAATGTAATGCATGTAAATACAGTATCCACATACGTGTGTGTGTGTGTGAGTCTGCGTGCGTGGGTCTACGTGAGGAAGGGACTTCGTGACGTGCTGCAGCCACAGCCTTTGATTCCTTTAGTTGCATGACCCCGCTGGATGCTGGCCCCCTCCGTCGAGAGTGAAGCCAAGAGGATACAGTAGTTACTCAGTAGTTTTCCTTGAGGGCATGATAGGATTTCAGCACCATTTACCCAGAAAAAGGTGCTCCTATGGTCTCTATATGTCTCTATTATGCCTATGACCTCAGACTAGAACAGACGCAAGCACTGGTGTGGCTCAGAGGGACGGCTGTACCACGAAATGAGAAGCCCCAGCTTTGGGGAGCTTCCCGATGTTAATGTTTGCAGACGCCACAGGTGGAGCCTCAGATGAAACCCTGTGATGTATCATGACTTATCATGTTGTGTCCATGGGTCCGCTGTTCTGAGGATTCTACAGACCAATCATGCTCCCTAGCTGTTTCGTGTTTGTTGGTCTCCATTTGGAGCTGAGACTTCTGCCAGTGGCCAAGTTTCTGCTATGGAGAAACTGCACAACATGTCTCTCTCAACCGATGGTCAGTCCACCCATGATCAAATCAACACAAGATCATCCCACTACAAACCTGGGGCAGCTAACCATCCGTTGAAGTGGCAGCCCCTTTGTATCTGTAAATGATTGTAAATACCTCCTGAAATGGATTGGAGCCACGATCTGTAAAACCAGTTGCTGCTGGCTCGCTGCAGAGAACTGCGGATGGGGCATCCCCTTCGCGAGCTAGCATACTGCACATACCTCGGACCGAAGGTAGGCTGGAAAAGCAACGGCAAAGCCATCAGGGAATGATGAAGTGAGGAAGGGCTGAAAACTCACAATGTCATCCAATTGTGTAGCTGGCTGCCAATTGCCATTTGCTAGCGCAAGATCACTTGTCGCAGAATTGCGCCTTGATGTTTCTCCACGTGTTCAAACCTCAGGCTCTTTGAAATGTCACAGAGCAGCCTACTAGTGGTATTAATCTGGCTTTGCATCCTTGTATATCCTTATATAATATTTTGCATTATGTATATAATCTTATGTTTTTTTACAAGTTGTACAATAGGTATATGTACATTACTGTAATTATATATATATAATCCTTCAAGACTCCCCCAGCCCGGATCCGCCTTACGAATTCCGGCACCCGTTGCCCCGTTGCCTTCGCAGCCATGGATTTCCCAGAACTTCTGCAAGGGGTTCCTGCTGCAGAGACCATGCGAGATCTGCAGCTGCAGGCGCAATGGAACTCAAAGATGGGCCTCATGCAACTTCTCTATAGTGATCTGTGATATTCTATGCGTACCATTGCGTACCATTATGTCTGTAAGCATCATATTCATAGAAAATCAGCGGCGAGAGTCAGCGAGAAGCAGAGCGAGAGAAGAGAGAGAGAGAGAGAGAGCGGGAGATGAGCGTTTTGTGACCAGTGTCGGTGTCGCATGGTGCCCAATCCAAGACATCAGTTCCAATACATCACAGATGGGGTCCATTTCTCATGCAGTAATATGTAATAGTGCTTTGAATTGGGGTGTAACTGACCAGCTGAAACTAGTTTTGTCCGTACTCATTTCAATCCCATATAGTTGTGGGCCGTTGGGAACAGGGACTGCATGAGTTTTGATTCCATGTTTACTACTTACGGACTGCAAAGGTTTGAAATCAAATCAGCTCATCCCAATTCGGAATTGCAAAGCTTAAACGATAGTTGTTTGGGAGATGCATGCTGTACATATGTTCGCGTGTGGATGTGTGAGTCTTGTCCAAATGATACCACAGGCCTCGTGTCAAAAGAATGCCACTGGCACCCACAAGTACCTTTCTATGTCAAGGATAGATGAAGAGTCTGGCCCTTGATTCCAATAAGAATCCAATAGGAATCTAATTGGATCAGAATATGATCCGTTTCAAGACCAATGGGAGGAGAACTTGGTAGATTCCCACTTTTTCCCTATTATATCACCATAGGGATAGATATGGATAGATAATATTTTCACATATAGGCCCCATTAAACCCATTTTATCCAAAGGATAAGTCCAGAAGCTCCGTCCTATGGCCAGGGCATTTTGCCAGACTCGCATCGTTTCCTGCGGCTGGTCTCCAAGTTGGGAACTGGCCTCAATGCAACCAGCTCAGACGCCACAGCTGCACTAAAAATTGCAAGGTGTTTCTGTTTCAATGTGCATAGCTTCATACATATACATGCAGCGTGCATCAACTATACAGTATACATTATGTACAGAATGTGTATATATAATGTATCATGTTTATACATTGATTTAAGTGTATAATAATTATATACATATATATATATATATGTGTGTGTGTGTGTTGATTATCTATATGTATGTGTGTGTGTATCGGTTTTATCTACGAAAAGGAGGGAGGGAGGGAGGGAGGGAGGGAGAGAGAGAGGGAGAGAGAGAGAGAGAGAGAGCGAGCTCAAGAGCCAGAAACCAACCAGCCCCCATGAGGGAATGAAGTCAAGACAGGAACGAAAGTTGCAATGATTGGTGACCGAATTGCCAGCGTTGTTGACAGCATTTCCCCAGTGATCCCTGTGGTTTGCCCAAGGACATGGTGGCACAGGCAATCCAACGAATCTTCGCTGCCTTAAGTCACTTGGCATGGGATGCACCACTGTGTGTCGTGTCCTGAGAGATTGCCATGTCACTTGGCATGGGGAGAATATTTGAGATCATATGTCATCATGTGTCATGATATGTCATATGGCATCCCGGCTGTTTTCGGCATTTTCGTCGCAGGATGGATGGAGCAGATGAGCGACTGGGGAGAACGCACGCTAGGCACAACTCTGAGTGTTGCGAGAGTGCAACATGGTGCAACAGCGGTGTGCACGCCCTAGATTGTTGACTTTCTTATTGGACAGAAGTAGCATGTCGAGAAACATAACCCTGGAAAAAATAAAATGAAACCACCCAAGGCGTTTGTGATGTGCCACTATGCATACACCACTGTATATACACCAAGGGTGCATCTTTTGCAGCTGGAACTAGTGGCTGGGCCAGTTGACCAGCTGCACTCAAAACCATTGAGTCATTAACGCGTCAAATAAATATAGAATGGATGGACGAGTACAAAGCGGCCATAGATACATATCAATTCATCCCAGATAGTGCCCGGCACGCGCTAGGGTGGAAGTTTCGAATATAGGAAGTAACTATAGCAAGAGACAAGGCTATAGGAATTGTTTTTGAGCTGGAAAGCAGAGATGAAACTTGCAACAAAGGAAAGATGCAATGACTGAATGAATGCATGAAAAATGACTGAATGACTGAAAGAAGGAACGAATTGAAGGAATGAATGAATGAATTGAATGAATTGAATGAATGAAATGAAATGAAATGACATGACATGAAATGAAATGAAATGAATGAATGAATGAAAGAAATGAATGAAAGAAATGAATGAAAGAAATGAATGAAAGAAATGAATGAAAGAAATGAATGAAAGAAATGAATGAATGAATGAAAGAAATGAATGAATGAAATAAATGAATGAAATGAAATGAAATGAAATGGATGGAATGAATGAATGAATGAATGAATGAATGAAATGAATGAATGAATGAATGAATAAAATGAATGAAAGAAATGAATGCATGAAATGAATGAAATGAA